ACAGTCTTGACATAAATTGGCAGGTCTCCATGGGGACTTCCATAACCCCCTACAATACTAAACCCCAATCCTGCAGAGCCTTTCTCCAAAGTAATAATCTTAGGTGGAGGTGTTCTGAAAACACAATGCATGCTGTTTAATTCCAGAATAGATATCGAGAGGGAATTTCATTTTATTGGAAGAATACAGATTTGAGAGAGACTTTCATACTGCAAAACTATGAAGTTTGGTTTATCAAATCAAACTCTCAGAAAGCAATCTAGAAAGTTATTTTAAAACTTCTCACGTCATGCCAATTAATCACCTATATTCTTGATGTTTTAGAGGTTTCTCTTCCATAAAACTCACTGATTTCTAATTAAAGATAAAGTCATGATGCTGAAACTGTCAAAGCACTTTTCTATATGCTTAGTTTTTAACTCTTTTTATTTATTTATTTTTTTGAGACAGAGCTGGGACTACGGGTGCGTACCATGCCTGGCTAATTTTTGTATTTTTAGTAGATGGGGTTTCACTATGTTGGCCAGGCTGGTCTCAAACTCCTGACCTCAAGTGATCTGCCTGCCTCGACCTCCCAAAGTGCTGGGATTACAGGCATGAGCCACTGCACCCAGCCAGTTTTTAACTTTTAAACTTACGGCTGACAGCTGAAGGAAGCTGTCATCACATCCTTGAAGCATGTGCATGGAAAGAGAGGTAGCGTGTCTCCTAGTGTGGTGGGAGACTTCACGTGAACTCTTGTCCATAATAGGCAGTAGCAGCCCGCAGCTCAGGAAACTGCTGCTCCTTTTCTTTTATCTTTTTTTTTCTTTTGAGACAGAGTCTTGCTCTGTCGCCCAGGCTGGAGTGCAGTGGCACAATCTTGGCTCACTGCAACCCCCACCTCCCAGGTTCAAGCGATCCTCCTGCCTCGGCCTCCTGAGTAGCTGGGATTACACGGGTGTGCTACCATGCCCAGCTAAGTTTTGTATTTTTAGTAGAGATGAGGTTTCGCTATGTTGGCCAGGCTGGTCTTGAACTCCTGACCTCAGGTGATCCCTCTGACGCCTCACAAAGTGCTGGGATTGCAGGCGTGAGTTGCCGCACCCAGACTGCTGCTCCTTTTCTGCCTGAATGCCCTGGCCACTTCCACCTAAGGCAGGAACTCATTCTCCAAACTCACTTCCAATGTGAGGTTCTCCTGCCTCTCTTGGGAGGATGGGTTCCACCTTTTCTTTTTCTTTTTTTTTTTTTTTTGAGACAGAGTCTCGTTCTGTCACCCAGGCTGGAGTGCAGTGGTGCGGTCTCGGCTCACAGCAACCTCCACCTCCCAGGTTCAATCAATTCTCCTAGTCTCAGCCTCCCGAGTAGCTGGGATTGCAGGCGTCTGCCACCACATCCGGCTAATTTTTGTATTTTTGCAGAGACGAGGTTTCACCATGTTGGCCAGGCTGGTCTCGAACTCCTGACCTCAGGTGATCCACCTGCCTCGGCCTCCCAAAGTGCTGGGATTACAGGCGTGAGCCACCGTGCCCGGCCTCCACATCCTTTTCTGTGCTTCCCCTGATTTCGGCACTGACTATATCATATTGTAATTACTTTGCCATCCATTTCCTCTACCAGACTATGACCTCTTTGTCTTAGTCATCTGAGCCTTCCCAGCACCATGTGTGGTGCTTGTCAGAAACTCAGGATCATGACTGTGTAAATGAGAACTGAAATCCAGGAGAGAAGAGAGAAACCAAGGTGAAGCAAAATGGAGAAAGAAAATCTGTTTCAAGTGTAAAATTTAGCTTTTCAAAGCTTCATCCAGTGTGGAAGTCTTCTCTCTCAGAAACAACATGGCTAAAAATTAAATTACCTATGTGGGTTCCCAGTAATTTAATCTTAATGAAAGCTTAGGTGATGCCAATTTCTTATTCCCAAATGCTATTGCTCAAAAGGCAGAAACCCAGACCCTGTCTTATTTATGATAGGTAATTCACATTTGTGTACTGGCAGCATCCTTTGTTTTGTGGCAACATGCATGTCTGAGAGGCAAAGTCATCTCTCATAAACTCAGCCATTCATGTACTTAGAGAAATTTGCAAAATGGGGACACAAGCGATCTTTGAATATATTGTTCTATTTAACTAGAATATTCTTCCTCTTCAATTTCGCTGGGTTTATTAAAGGGTTTTCAGCGGGTTCACATTGTTACCAGTTGTTTGTTGATGTACTTACTGGTTGTTTACAGCAGACATCCATAGTTACTGCTGATGATCTATTCTATATAAATTGTTAACTGATTTTTTGTTTGTTTGTTTTTGTTTTTTGAGATGGAGTTCCGCTCTTGTTGCCCAGGCTGGAGTGCAATGGCATGATCTCAGCTCACCGCGACCTCCACCTCCTGGGTTCAAGTGATTCTCCTGCCTCAGCCTCCCAAGTAGCTGGGATTACAGGCATGTGCCACCATGCCCGGCTAATTTTGTATTTTTAGTAGAGATGGGGTTTCTCCATGTTGGTTAGGCTGGTCTTGAACTCCTGACCTCAGGTGATCTGTCTGCCTCGGCCTCCCAAAGTGCTGGGATTACAGGCGTGAGCCACCACGCCCGGCCTTGTTAACTGTTTTTAACTGTTCTGTTTGTCTTTACATTTTTTTATAAACACAGAGTCTGACTATGTTGCCCAGGCCTTGGCCTCTCAAAGTGCTGGGATTACAGGAGTGAGCCACCACACTTAACTATTTTGAATGCCACCTGCTTATTCCAAATTTTTTTCTTTTTTTTGAGACAGGGTCTTGTTCTGTCTCCTAGGCTGGAGTACAGTGGAACAATCGCAGCCCATTGCAGCCTTAGACTCCTGGGTTCAAGTGATCCTCCTGCCTCAGCCTCTTGAGTAGCTGGGACTACAAGCATGCACCACTATGCCTGGCTCCAGGCAGGCTCCAGTTCTCTTAAGCTTAAGCATTAGCTTCTCCAACTACACTCCTTCATTGAGTTATGCCCCATATCCATGGTTTCACAGGACCCTCTCTCAATGAATTTAGCTCTCCTACAGTTATGTTTTATAACCATGGATTTATGGGTGTTTTTCCACTTCTCTGGCAGCTCTTTGGGGACTGGGGCAGTATCTTTACTTACATTTCTAAGTTTGCGTCCTCAGGACCTAGCATTTGTATCTAAGTGTCTGGCCTTAGAATGGTGCTCAATAAATATCTGTTGAGATACTGATGAATTGTCCCCTATAGCTGAATGATTACGACGTCATGAATAAGGCTCTACTTTTCCCCACTTCGTGGCCTTACAGGCACTCTCAGTAACAGCTCACTGGCCGGATACAAATTCGATTCGTGTTTCTTCTTTCAAACACAGCCCCCATTTCCAAAGATACTGGAATGGGAACCTAGATGCCCAAAGCCATTGTTTTACAGCTACCTCCTGCGGCCCCAAATCATTAAAGACCCTTATAATTGTGCCTATTTATACTCAGGGACGTGTTTTCAGGGGAAGAGGGAGGAGTGTGGCTCTACTCCTCAACTGGCAACATCAGATGGAATTTGCTTCCATTGAGCTCACAATATCATAACATTTTCAACCAATTAGTTTAAATTTACTTTCATATAGAAGACTAGTAAAAGAAAAAAAAAATCCCAATGTTTGTTCTGAGTGATTTTAAAATTCCTTTAAGCTTGTTGTTCCCAGCCTGCCAGAGGCCATGGAATTATAGCAAAGGAATTAAGATTACAAGGGGATCTCTGTGTTTCCACAGACACATCAAAGGATGCTAAAGGTACACTGTACTTCCTATAAAGGTCCTTTTATTTTATTTTATTTTATTTTTTTAAGGAAAAGGCCACCATAATTTGAAAAATGTTATATTTCTATGTTTTGTTGTATTTTTATGGCAGGCATGTATTACTTTTATAACGAGAAAAAGGTAGAATGAGCTTAATTTCTTTCCTCAAGAAAAATAAACTCAAAGATGTCATTTAGGTGGGGAACTACGAGGAAAAAGTTGGATGGGCTATGACCATGAGATCCTTCAAATGAACCATCCAGATCTGTCAACAAACATTTATTAAGCACCTACTAGTGACCAGGCACTGCTGGTACCTGCGAGGAATAGCTTTAGGCAGCATTTCTCAAAGTGTAGATCCTTTGCCCACCTGTAGCAGAATCACTCTGGGAAACTTGTTAACATCAGGTTTCTGGAATCCACCATAGACCACCTAGTCAGAATTTTGGGATGTGGCCTGGGGAATTAGCATCTTTAAACATGCTACCTAGATTACTCTTTTTTTTTTTTTGAGATGGAGTTTTCCTCTTATTGCCCAGGCTGGAGTTCAGTGGTGCAATCTTGGCTCACTGCAGCCTCTGCCTCCCGGGTTCAAGCAATTCTCCTGCCTCAGCCTCCTGAGTAGCTGGGATTACAGGCACCCGCTACTACGCCTGGCTAATTTTTTATATTTTTAATAGAGACAGGGTTTCACATGTTGGCCAGGCTGGTCTCTAACTCCTGACCTCAGGTGATCCACCCGCCTCGGCTTCCCAAAATGCAGGCATTACAGGCGTGAGCCACTGTGCCCGGCCCTTAGATTACTCTTATGCACATTCTAGTTTGAGAAACCCTGCTTTAATGAATGACTTTAACTGCAATGACTGGTTTTAATGAAACATGTCAGCAAGTATAACAACAAGATTTCATCTCAGAACAAGATTTTAGCCTAGAAGTTCAGGAAACATGGCTCCTTGCACAATAAAGCAGGGTGCACTTGGGCTATACATCTGTGGTTTCTTAGGGAAGCAGGCATAGGCACTGTGTCAAAGTGACCAGGTGCAGCATGTGCACAGGCCCTGCAACAATGGTCTTTCAAGAACTCATATGGTGGAATTAAGCCTTGTGAGAAATAAGGATTCCCTAGAATTTAGAAAAAGTCATGGGCGCTTTGGCCTCCTCTCCTTTAGAGTGCACTTGAGTATCTGGAAAAGTTCTTCTGAGCTTTGCCCACATGCATAATAGACCCTCTGCATCTGAAATACTCACTCTGTGTCTTCTGAATGGTGTTCAGCAGTGGGTGAACCAAGGTGGTAGCCTGTAGACATGTTTTCAAGCTGAGCTGCTATGGCACTTATGTTGGTATCTGCTACAACCTGGGGAAAAAGTGAAAACAAGGTATTTCATTATAAGGAAGGGGAGAATTAGAGAAACCATGCTATATCCAAGGGTCAGTTCTCAATCCTGATCTTATCCAACTTATCTGGACCATTTGACACAATGGACTATTCTCTCTTTCAGACTTTTTTTTTTTTTTTCTTTAAGACAGGGTCTCACTCTGTTGCTCAGGCTGGAGTGCAGTGATATGATTTCAACTCACTGTAGCCTTGACTTCCCAGGCTCAAGTGATTGTCCCACCTCAGCCTCCCACGTAGCTAGGACCACAGGCATGCACCACCAAGCCCGGCTAATTTTTTTTTTTTTGAGATAGAGTTTCAGTCTTGTCACCTGGGCTGGAGTGCAGTGGTGCGATCTTGGCTCACTGCAAACTCTGCCTCCCGGGTTCAAGTGATTCTCCTGACTAAGCCTCCTGAGTAACTGGGATTACAGACACCCGCCACCATGCCTAATTTTTTTTTTTTGAGACAGAGTGTCGCTCTGTCACCAGGCTGGAGTGCAGTGGCACGATCTTGGCTCACTATAACCTCCGCCTCCTGGATTCAAGCGATTCTCCTGCGAGTAGCTTGGGACTACAGGCATTACGCCACCACGCCTGGCCTAAATTTCTGTATTTTTAGGTAGAGACGGGGTTTCACCA